CCGCCTCCCGCCTCATCACGCACACAACGCTATGCGCAGCAACTACCTCTGAGAGAGCACGCGCCGGCGGAAAACAACTTCCACAACATATCGCAAGCCCCATCATCCACATGACAAAACACACAGAAGCCACCCACCTCTGTGCGCACACAAGCCAGCAGAAACCTTCACAACTTCCATCACACGCTAGCTATTTCGCCACGCTTTCGAACTTGACAAGCCACTGCCCTGGTCGAGGCTTGGGTCTCTTCCAAGGATCCTTTTGGCGCTCTGCCACCACAACCAACTCGATGTGCCCCGCCGGCCCCACGACCAACACGGAGCTGTCCCTGGTGGGCTGGTGCGGCACCAGCGGCAGAATCTGGCCGAAGGGCGTAAATACGCCTATGCATGCCGGTTGGCGGGCGATTAGTCAGACAGGTGCGAATCACGCGGATATGGTGGTAGCGGCAGCGGGGGGTGATCTCGCTGCCCATGTGGAGGTGCCCATGGTGGAGATCTATGAAGCATCGCATCGTAAAGGAATGAGGAGGTCGGCGGGCGCGGCCACAGCGGACATGGAACCGACGGAAAAGGTCGATGGAGGGATGCATCGAAATGGAGGTGCTGGGCGGTTTCAGTCGTAGAACGTATGGTGTCGGAGCTTCCAGGACGTGGGGAAGCAGGCCTCTCCTCTCAAGAACCTTCTTGGGAGGATCCCGAAATGCCATTTGGAGGCAGGCCTCCGGAAGAAAGGGCTTTATGGGATGGGTTTCTACAGAAATGCGATGAGACATGGGAAGTTGGTCGTCAATTTTGGGAGGATTTTGAGGGAATAGTGGGTTAGAAAGGTGCAATACATGCGGAAAAGTTAATGGCAGAATCAAGTGAGCTAGAGGGGTCAGAAAAGGGATCAGAATAGTGCATTGCAAGAGCTCCGAGGAGGAGCCGTGCCCGTTGTTTAGCAAGGGCATGGATCATGGCGAAATGGGGCAGCCCCCTCCCTTCCACGGGGCTCCAACAAGAGAAAAACTAGCAGCTCTCTGTTGGGCCCTTGAGGCTCAGCAGAGAGTGTTTGATGAAGGGAGGGAGGGGGGCGAGGCACCCCAGGCGTAATTCCTGGCGGGAGTACCCGAAAGGGTGCTTGAGCTCCATCGTTGGATGGGGCAGATCTCGCTTAGGTAGGTTACATTTTATTTGGAGCATTTGATTAACGAGGTGGCCACCTAGAAGGGGATTTCACTTGAAGGGTGGCTTGGCAGGATTTGTCGGGTTATAGTTCAGATTATTCGAACAGGTTCCACACGATTAGATTTGAGATGGGGATACCGATAGATAAGGCTATAGCAGGGGCAGATCTGCCACCCGTGCCGGACGATCCATGGAGCTGGACTTCAGTGACGAGTTTGAGAATGATATCCTTCCATTTCTGTAAATGTCTGGGAAAAAAGTAATTTATTTTATACTGGATTTCGAAGTTTTGTGGTGAAAAACCTGATAACGCAACAAAGCTTAGTTAGGAATGTGCTGCCTTTGATTGTATTTGGATTGGGGGTGATTGCATGGGCATGGTGGCTGCGCTACAGTCATGATTACAACTGTCATGCAATGTACTTTAGGTGTTTTTTTGAATATAAATGATTGCTGCATTATTTTGTATTGTGGCAGCGCTGATTACTGAAAGTCCAGTCAGTTTCATGGGGGCGGCGCCATGGTTGATGCGCTGGATGATGTCGTGACCGCTTCTGGGCTGTCATATCAGCCGATGTCATCAAAATCCGTCGATTACATTTGCCGTAAAATGGCAAAACACAGCCCTTGCACCTGATAGGCGATGATGCGCGTGAGAACCTAACCAAGTGTTTGTTCAGAAGCACTTGTCCATGATCCCATGGCCACACAATTCCAGAAACCCAGTTCGTCTGCAATCCCTGTGTCGCACGAAATGCAACTATCGATGTGATTGTTGTAATTCGATTGTAGCATGGACCCTTTGGGACCAGGGTGGCTCCTTTGACGTGGGTTTATGGGGCTACCTGCGGGGTGTGCGTGTTCTCCAGCCCTGGGTTGTCGGCCGGTGACAGTTGGTGACCAGCGATGAGTGCGCGGGGCTGAGAATTGCAAAGACATTGTTGCAAGGGCCGGCGGGCCCACAGTTCGGTGTTGGTTTCCGTGTGTGCCCTGTGCGTGAGGCCAGCGAGCTGGCTGAACGTGCTTGCCCACGCGGAATGGGCCTTCCCCGACGATTCAGGCGCAGCAAGGCGTGTCATAGCAGCATATGTGAACGGTCTGGTGCCGAAAAACCAGACGGCCATACGACCATAATGCCACGCCCCCATGGGCACGGCGTGGCCTGGAAAAGGCTGCGAAGGGGCCGATACCAAGGTCTGAAGCGCAAAGTGCCTGCGAAGGGGTAGGTTGGCCTCAAGGGCCGCATATGTCGCACATGGGGCATGTAGATGCCGAAACAGGCAGGGCGTGCGGAAAACCAGCGCCGGAAGGGCGGAGTATGATGCCAATGCGTTGTGAGTCTGTCGTGCGTGCCAGAAATTGTAAGCTTGCAGTGAAATCTGTCGATTTGTGGCGGGATGCTTGACACATAGGTATCGGAAATCGCATACGGTCGAAGTCCATGCGTAGCCGTGCCATTGTGGCGCTGATGGCGGGCTCGCGCGAACAAAACGAGAAAAAGAAAAACTCTCCCTAATCAGGGCTGGCAGAGCACTGCTCATAAGTATGAACCCCAGTGCAGCCTGCAAAACCTGTGGTTTTAGTGCGGGGATGGTAGAGGATGTCTGACCTGGAATTGAACCGGGCGCCATTGGGTGGGGTGTCCCTGCTCTACCAAGCCACCTGGACAACGGGAAGGAAGAGGGTAGTCCCCTACCAACTAGTCCCCCACACCAACACCTGCGTATGCCCATTAGCAAACATCGATGTGGCTGCTGGCACAGGAGCAATGGCCAATCTTGGACAGGCAGTTCGCGACCCAACAATCGTCTATTCAGCCCCCCTCTTCCCTTCAAATGCAACTCACTGGTTGATTCAAGAATGTGCTCCCCCATTTCGTCCATTCAAATTAACAGTCAATGTCGTGCAGCTCCGCCAATTGATGGACTCCATCTGTTTCAAAACTCCCCTGCAGCCTTTGGTCCACAACTATCTGCTCTTGGCCTGTCATCTACTGGAGGCAGACTGAGGTCTGGTCTGGACAGACCTCGGAGGTAAACATTTATGGCTTCAAGTCATGCAATATGTAATACATTGCCACACTCCCAACGCCCTGCCAGGCGTCCTGCGCGTTGGACAGTACCGCAAAACTTGCTCAGCCACCGCCACAAAAATATTGTGCAATTGAGCCAGGAAGCACGTGTCTCAAGAGCACATCGTTGCTGTTGTATGACAGTGCAATGGCAGCATTGAACATGAAGCATAGAACACATGTGAATACGATACAAGCAACAGCATGTAGGGGTGTCACGGTGGATGCAATCTGAACAGTGAAGGTTCGCTTCGCATTCACATCGCGCCGTTCAGGACGGAGGAAAGTCGCTGAAAGTTCGGTACCATCGCCTCACATGTGTGGATGTACATCATTCAGTTCAAGAAGGGTCCGCTGCAAAATGGATTCTAGTTAGGATGACTAACATTCCTTAGATAACCTTGTCCCTATAGTGTGCCCACCACCAGCACGTCCCCATGTACTTTACATAACGTAACTGTTCTGTGCGGCACCACAGACAACAGTGTCCTGTTTGCAGTGCATCTACTGTTAATGTGCTCCGCTACGCAAGATGCACAGATTCACAATCCAATCTCCACACACCACCCATGGAAGGGAATGCCTCCCTGCTTGACCGTCACTCTGCACCCAGACTCCGAACCGCCAATCCAAACACGCCAAGCAACTGCATCCGTTGAATCGGGTCTACCCCTAATCCTTATCCCAACCTGACCCTCCAAGCTTTAGTAAGCCCCAGAAGCCAAGGCTGTGCCCAGGATCAGACAGGCATGGGGCGCTATTGCACAGTGCAGAGCCGCCCCTGCACAGCCATATCTATCATCCACATTTCCAGCACAACCCAAACAGCACGCACAGTTCATAGGCCCTACAAAATGCATGTGTACACAGTACACAGCGCGTACTGTGTACTACACACTTTTATTCACTGTGTCCATGAATGAGCACACACAGCCACCGCCACACAGCCCACCAGCTGATCGAGGGCCTCAACCGGTCAAGCCGCTTTGTTCGCAATGCTGTGCTGAAAGCAAAACAGTTAGCTGAGTCAGACACCTCACACCGTCTTCCCACCAGCGGGGTCCCTTTGTCCACACGGACCACTTGGACCCCTGCTGGGACCAATGCCAATGGACCTAGGTCTGCAAAGCTCACGCAAAAAGCAAACAAGAAAGCGGGCAATTCTGATGGGCCCAAGAACAGCAATCCATGATAAGAGACAAGCACAGCCAAGACACCTGGCCACTCATGAACAAGCCACAATCAACCACTCCATCCATCCTCCCGCCTCATCATCCACACAAGGCTGTGCCCCAAACCACCCACCTCTCCATGCACACACCAGCGAAAACAACCTCTCCGTGCTGGAGTTTTATTGCCATGCCTTGGAACGAAAAAACACACTGCCTGGCCAGGGCCCAGGTCTCTTCTCAGTGCACCTCTGGGCGGTCTGCCACCTCCCATGCCATCATCCCCACAAAGCAATGCACAGCAACCAGCCACGCAGGTGCACGCACACGCCAGCAGAAAACAACGCCAAAAGCACCCCAGGTTTTTTATTCCATGGTTTGCAACCAACAAACACACTGCCCTACCCAAGGTCTATGCCTCTTCCCAGTGCTCCTCCAAGCAGGCTGCCACTTCCCTCCTCACCATCCACACAGCGCCATGTGCAGCAACCACCCACCTTCGTGCACACACATGCCAGCAGAAACCTCCACAACATGCTGGCTATTTTGCCAGGCTTTCGAACTTGACAAGTCGCTGCCCTGGCCCAGGCTTAGGTCTCTTCCCAAGGCTCCTCTGGGCAGTCTGCCACCACCCCCATCTCGATGTCTCCCACTGGTCCCACGACCAGCACGGAGTTGTCCTTTGTGGCTCTGCCCCTGGCTTGGCGCGGCACCAGCAGGGCGGTCTCTGATTCCGCATTGGGTTCGTCTGCTTCGCCATCTCGCTGCTGGCCGGGAGCGTTGCGAGGATCAGGAGGGGCAGCGCGAGGTGGCATGGTGACCAGGACCTGTGTGGGAGACAAACCAAGAAGTCAGATGCACATGGCAAAGACATGGACACATTGTGATGAAGGATAGTGAGGCGATGTGTTACGCAATTGTATCAAGACAGTGTGTTGAGACGCGTTTTGGGACAGTGTCCTTGCAAGGTGCACGAGCTTTGTGTGCTGATGGCAAGCGCCCCTTACAAGGGTGCACTTTGGTGACCTTTGCTGTATTTCAACTGCAATGATGTGTGCACAATACAGCACATGCGTCCTTCCCATGAAAGGAGCATTTGAGGAGAGGAACCTTGTATAAGATTGTTCTTTTAACTTGAGGAGGATGCATTCACAAATCCCTGTCAAGCACTTGGTGAGCATTCCTCAGCAATGTGTTGCAGGGTCTGCCCTTAATTGCAAGCTGAAATCCACTGCAACTACATCAACCTAGAGATGACAACAGTGCCCTTCTACCTGCAAGGCTGCAACAAACAAATGGAGCTGTGTAGAGGAAACATGTTACAAAACTTAGTACTTAACTGTACTCGTTCCACCGCCGAGCAGTCAGTACTCCCTGGCTACTGTAACCACTAAGCATTTAGTATTTAATCCTCCTGTACGACACCAACTGTTCTGAAAAAAAAGAGCGGTATACTCCCATCGATTGCATCTGTACTGGAACGTTCATCCATGTCCCTCTGCTGGCCAAACATCCAAAGAAGCCACAAAGAACACTTTAGGCGAAAAGTGGCACAAGGCTCTTTAGTATTTCATAGCACTCTGCTGCAATATCTTCCCAAAAGGGATCCAAAGGCAAAAACGAGGCTTGATGTCCACGTGCCAATGCCAATTATCGGTGGTGTGGCAACGAGCTGAGATCGTAAGAGACTTAGCACACGCTCACTGAAGGCAAGATTCAAGGTGCTTATTTGTACTCTGTCATGTGTCATACATCCACATCCATGCACATATCTGTCAACACATCTGTTCACCTATACTTTACAGTTTGTTTGGGAGCAATATGCTCCATAGCAGTCGCACACCTGCATGGGGATCTCGTCAGGGATGAGCCGCCGCCGCAGCCGGCGCAAGGTCCACACAACGATGCAGGGCAGCATGGTCAGCGGCAGGAAGCCGAGGCTGAAGGTAGGCTTATAATCTGCGGCAAGGGAGGGGGCACAGGTCAGGATGGGGATGCTTGTGTGTGAGTGTCCAGGGATGCACCTCCCACAGAAATGGAAGCCTGGACGTATGGTCAAACCGCCACACAGGGTAAGATTGTTGCGCAAGGGAACGCCAAGACATGATCCACTTTTCCTCCACCTTTGCTGTCGCAGACAAGCCCCAAGACAAAACAAGGCAGTGCAGGGCAGCACGGCGTTAGAGGTGGTTGAAGGGGTGGTCGGTTTTGATTCGTATATGCATGGGCCGCGCGGAATGGTGATAACAATGCTGGGATGGATGGTCCACATAAATGGGGATGAATGGTCTGCGTGATGGCACAGGGCAACAAACTTTGTTTTGCTCCTTTTCTGCGAAATACTATCGGTCTTGGCCCAAGCCCAAGGCCAGCTTCTTTCTTGAAGAAAGGAATCGGATGCAGACTCAACAGAGAAGGGGAGAGGTGACAGGTGGGTGTTTGGTTTCAACAGATCACAAGTGAGGTTCAGCAACCAATACTCGCCATCAAAATGAAGCACTCATGAAATCAGCATTCATTCAATTGAGCACCAGCCATCAACTACGTCTTCAATGCCCAGTCATCTGCACTTGGCATTCTGCATAAAGTTGCTGCCCAACAAGCAGCACATAAGTGCCCCCAAGCCATCTCCTTGCACTGCTGTTGGATCTCCAGTATGTGAACACCTCAGAAGTTGTCTCCCAAGTGGGGCCATGCATTGTCCACTTGAAACCAGAGCCATCCATAAATTACAGGTACTGCTAGTCTTATTTGATTCACCACATATGCATGCACAAATGCACCTACATATGCAGTAGCACGCACCTATGTTAACCTCTGGATATGTGGTTGTGACGTTGACCTGAGTCACATGTGCATAGTCGAGCATACACTTGCTCTCCGCATAGGAAGCCCAGGTGTAGCCTGCCTCGCACTCAAGGCAAAGGTCTGAGGTGCACTTGACGCAGTGGGGGGCACAAAATGGAACATCGCAGTTGGAGATGCGGCCCTGTGGAAGATGACAATTACACAATAATGAACTCACACAGCCATAGAACAAGTACGTGGCACTGCACACTGAATCGTATACTGCAATTGCCTTACTTGTGTGTGCTTAGAGAAAGTGAAGGGTTTTGGGCCAACAAATACAAGTGTGTCAACAACTGACTGAATGGATAAAACAGTAGACAGATCTCAGCCCAAAATATCAGAGCCCAGGGCTTTGCACTGCAGCTCAAATTGTGTACCAAGGATCTGAAACGAATTCAAGAGGACTGTGTGGATGTGTGGTCAGCAATAATCGACCGAACAGGTCATAGTAGGATATGCAGGATGCCATGATGGGGTGCAGTGATAGTGGCCTATGACTTTCTCAGGTGGCCCACCTGCCATTTGCTCCGAACAAGTGTAACTACTGCATGCAAGCAGACACTTGTTCACTGTATGCAGAAAGCTATGGATGTGTTTGATACAGATCTCGTATATGTTACCAGCAACTTGACATATACTTTGCTTTAAGTACACTGCATTGAGGCCTACCTGCAGCGGTCCATAGCCAGGTTCACAGTCGCCGCAGTAGCTCTGGCCGATGGAGGTGTCTCGCAGGCAGGAGCAGTGTGGCCCACAGAACATATCTGCAAGACAGCATTTTCATTCTGTTACTCCACATAGCAGGTTGTTCCACAACCAACTAATTTGTTACTTGTGCATTGAATTAATGTCATCTGAACATTTCTTTGGTTAATTCGCACATCAACTAATTTGTTAGTTGTGCATTGAATTAATCAGTCATCCAAACATTTCTTTGGTTAATTCGCACATCAACTTAACGTCATGATTACTCTGCAGCAGCAGTTCGACGTCAGACCTCCCCAAAAGGCCCCTGCTCTGTGAGCTAGACATGCGATGCGCATGCCTCATCTTCCAATTGCCCCATTCCGAACATTGGGATCATCAGTTTAGGGCGATAGATTGACGTGAATTGAGTAGTATCAAGTGAAACTTAACCAATCAAGTGAGCCAACCTGAACTTCCTTTGGGGCAGGGTGTGCTGAGCACAAGGTACACAGCAGCTTGGCCTTGCATCTACATTGTCCAAGGGCACAGCGATGTCGTGCACGCAAGTGGGGCAAGTCCCACAATTGGAACACACTGTATGGCGTTGCACAGCAACCAACAACCCTCATACAGCATTATGATTTTTAATTACAATAATTTACACACACTATTTCCTGGACCCCGTGCAGAGATGCTGGCACAGGACAATTCTTGCTGATTGACAACAGCAACACGCTGTATTTTGTGGGATTCCGGAAAGTTAAAACAGAAGAGAACAGAAACAGTTGGGCACAGTCGACACTCTATAAGAAAAGACAGATGGCACAGATGATAAATTACCAGGGGAGATTGCCACACGGACTGACAAGTTGTCAATGAGAACGCCAATCTTTACATGGTACGTGGCTGTGCTCTGAAAGAAACTGTGTGCAATCTGTGGCACTTGGACAAGGAAGCAGTCACAGCGGGTTACAATTGCATGCCAGCATAGTACACAATGCACAGAGCACAAACAGTACACACACGCACATACACACAGCACACACTGCAGTGCTTCACACTCACCCATAAGCCCACCAGTGGAACCTTGCTGTGCAATATAGAACTGGCAGCTATGCCAAATTTTGCTTCTGACATTTCCTTCCTTTTCTTTGGGGAATGTACACATTGACGGCCAAGTCTTTTAGCTTCACAGGTTCTGCACACTGCCAGGCTGCACAGCCCAGGCATATCCGAAGCATCCTTGTCTTTTTGCAGATGCACTGGCAGCACAATTTCACATATGTTGTTCCTGCTGATGTGTGTCCAAGAAAGAGCTGGCAGCACCTGCCAATTTTGGAGCACGGACAAATAGCACCTTTAATATTAACTTGGAGCCTCAGCCAATCAGGAACCATGGCGATTACGGCTGCCAGGTAGCCTTTCAGCACAACTGCCATGGATGGGGTGTCATGCCTTTGATGTGTGAAGATTGTATGCCACAAGCTCTCATGTGTTGCAATACTTCTTGCTGATGTTCAAGCACAAATTTCAAGTTTCGTGCTGAGAGAAAAGAAGAAGGTAAGGCCCTACTCACCTGTGTCATTGTCTCTGTAGACGGGATCTGGCCTGTCCAACATCTCCAGGCTGCGAGCCTGCAATCACAGAGCACACACACCGTCAATATCTTGACATGGTACCAGTTCCACCAATAGAAGTCAGCCAAATCCAAATCCTTCGACCTTGCATTCGATGGTGCACATAGCACCACCTGATGGCTGTTCGTTCACATCCCATTAACCTTCATTTTCCCATGAACCTTTATCTTGAGCCCAGACCTAACACTTCCTAGATTGCCTGGACCTGCAAAGCAGTTCAGAGCACATTGCCAAGTTGAGCATTGCCCGATGACATCCTGCACCTGTGTTCACCCTCAGAAGGCAAGAGCAAGGTTCTGGCCTGTGTCAACAGATTTATCCAAAAGTGAATCAGGAAACTGCGGCCACACCCCTTGGATGGATAGGGCAATGTGTCCTACATCGCCTGGCGAACTGCATGCTGTGCGCTGTGTGTCTCCAGTGGTGGATGCCGTTTACTGCCACAGATGAAAAACATGTCCATGGCACAGATTAAGCAATGGCAGCAGTGATTTGATGTCCTCCTTGTGTCTATGGGACAGATTGGTGCAACTCGTCATGGATGCACCTGCTACATTGACACTCTCTGTTCATTCCTGAGTGTCCACCTTGTGCCACTGCAATGTGCTTGCTATAGCGCACTTGGACTCATATCAGCAGCGGGAGTTTCACCACGTGCTTCCCTCCACACACTCACCCAGTTGACATGAGATTCATGCCCAAACTTACAACCCATGGCACCACCACTCACTGCAACTTCTTGCTGCTATTTTCATTGGCAAGTGAGTACGGGTTGCTTTTGACAAGACTGCATGCTACATTGCTGAACAGATGTGCTCACAACTTGGCCATATGCTGGCTGGTACCTGTTAGAGTGCACAAAGTGAACTCTGCCATTCTCGATGGAAACGATGGCGCAGAAGACAGGGAAAGGATGACCTTGAGAACGTACATCTAGAAAACCAATCGTTTGCATTTTGATCTGAACTTTGCTTTTGGCAAATATGTGGTTAGAACTGCAGTTAGCACAGCTGTAAGCCACCCCATGTCTCCAGACATCTGAAATACGTTTCGTGGCAGGAAAAAAATATGTTGTGCAACATCGGCCCCTGTCCCCCAGAGGATATATTACATGCTATGCCATGCACAACGCACTGTCTTTTTGAATCGCGCTCCTTACGAGTGCTGAAAGAAAGAAGTGCAGGTCACACAACGAACATCGAGCACATGGATTCTGAGGGCCAAGTAGGACAGCGAATATTCAACAAGCTTAAAAGAGAAAACTGTTGTGCTTGGCGCTGTGACTGGGCACGAATCCACATTGATGCACAAGGATGAGCACGTGCACCAGGATGTGCAACACCACCTTCAGCATCAAGGGGTCCCAAACTATTGTTGGCACAAGACAGGAGGCCAGGCGATCAAAGAGGATATCCTTTGAAAAGAGTAGGCGAGAACTTTAGCACTCAAAACCATAAGGAGTTAGTATTGGAGACTTGGCCCTTGGCACTTAAGACTTGGCAAATCTGGCAATGTACCCACTCCATCTGGAACAGTGTCTAATGGCTGATGCAACAGGGATGCCTTGGGTATTAAACTGATGGCCCCAGTGTGAGATGTTGAGGTGACAAAAGCTGCAGGACAGAGAGATGGCAAAAGCATGTGTGGGTTGGGAGCCAAGGATGTTGTACCAGGGAGGAGGGTCTTTCAACAGACCGCTTGTTGGTTTTCAGAAGATCCCCTTTCAAACATAAAGTAACGCAAATACGCTCACTGCTCCCAGCAGCATGAGTGCGTCGAAGTGAATGGGTTGCAGAGACTCAACAGCAAGAAAGTCGTGAAAAAAAGATATGCCAGGGGCACAACGCTGCAGAACAAGTTGTTTTGGCTCTTGTGCACAATATGAAACGTGTCAAAATGGCAAAAGCATCTGTGTGTGCACTACATTAGAAGAAGGCAATATGGAGGCATACCCATGCACCTCTTGGAAGCAGACATCAAGGGTGGGCAGCAGAAGTTGAGAATGGGGTGGGCGTGTCTAGCACACGTGGCTGAAGATATGGATTTCATTCACGTTGGACTCCCCCAATGCACAGCTTTGACCCCCAGGAAGAAGCTTTCTATACTCTTTCCATGACAACAGAAGATAAGGAGAGGCCCATGTCTTTCTGTTGGGATTGGGCAGCACCTAGACTCTGAATGGGAATGTCGAGTTTGGATTGGGAAGAAGCAACCGATGACCAGACACGCAGGTCTCCGACTTCAGCTGGGCTGGGCTGTTGGTGCGCTTCATGCATATGCCCAAAGTTGGAAGTTGAGGCGAAGGGGCGATGCATGGGCACCAAAAGTGACAGATCTCAGTGAACGGTGCTCTGGTGGGGTGCACATCGTACAACATGTTTTCCTTTCCTCCAAACAACGAGTCTCCTGCCTGGCGAAGGTGCCCACACACTTCTTTTGCTTCACCATGGGACAAATGCATTCAGTCTCACACAGCACTTGTGCAGGAAGGATGCCAACTGTGTGACATGTTATCCTCTCACTGCGAGGAGCCTTCAGCAGGCCTCTGAGCCCAGCTGCCACATCTCCCCCCTAAAATCCTGGGTTTGAATTGTCTTTGAAAGCCAAAACAGGAAGCCTGCTACATTCCTTTGCTTAAATCTGCCTTCGAACAACAAAGCGGGACCCTCCACCTTGCAGGCGATGATGCGCATGCCTCTCCCTCGCCCACCTGCCCTTCAAGTGCACGTTTCTTGTTCTTTGTGGTCCTTGTGCTGTGTGCTCCACTTTCTGCACCGAGGATCCTCAATCACTTTCTACAGTTCGGCAAAGAGTCTCAAGCACCCTTGCTTAGGAAAGGGGTGCCCTTTGCATGACCTGTTTCTCTTTGAAGTGCAACAAATCTTAACCTCACCCCCACCCACCCCCCAGCCCACCCCACCACCACCATCCACTGATGCGCCCATCTTTCGTAGGTGATTTTAAACAAAGGATCCCGCAAAAGAAAGGACGAGTAAAGGGTAAGCAAAGGGCAAACAAAGGATTTGGACCGTAAACATGGCGCCAGGCCACTGCTTTGCCTTTCTTGGGCAATTTCTAAGCAAAGGCTTTCAGCCACCACCCGTAAGCAAAAGGGTGAATAATGGGCAAAAAAGGGCAAACAACGGATATCATTCGCCGTGAACCAATCCGCAAGCGGGTTGGCAGGAGGCGCACCTGCCCACCAAGCGCAAGAGCACCGCTTGGTCTTTTGCCAGCAGTTTTGAGCAGGGTACTCCTCGCCCCCCGGAAACAAAAGCATGAACAAAGGCCAAACAAAGGATTCCACCCGCCTGGAATCAATCAACACATAACAGGGCGGTGGGAGGCGCACATGCGCTCAAGGTGCGCGCCTCTCTGTCTTTCGCTGCCAATTTTAACCAAAGCATTTCAGCCGCCACCAGCACGCAACAGGTCGAACAAAGCCCAACCAAAGGGCTCAAGGCTGAACAGATTCAGCCACCTGAGAATCGACCCGTGAGGGATGCTGGCAGGAAGCGCACATGCCTCCCAAGCGCAAGGACACCTCTTTGTCTTTCTCTGGAAATTTTAAACAGAGGACTCCACCCGCCACTCGTCCACAAAAAGATAAACAAACGACCCCACCCGCCGTAAATCGATCAACCCGCGGGAGAGGGTGGCGGGAGGCGCACCTGCGATGATGGTGCCGCAGTCGCCAGCAGGAGCGTCGCCAGCGCCAGCATGGGACCATGGGCCGCCGCGAGCATCGGCATGGCGGAGACTGCGCCCAGCCGAACCGCAAGGGTTCGGACCTGACCAGTGTCAGGGGCGGTGGAGCCACCACCAGAGGCTGGTGTACTGGCTGCAATAAGTACCCCACACAGTCATCGTCGTTGTTGTCATTGATTTTTCATAGGTAGTCAGCACCAGACTCAGTACTTTAGGAAGTACTTTGAGTGGTCTCATCGTCCTCAAGGATTCTTACACAACGAGCTCGAGGCGACAAGGCAGCCGTCAGCTCCACCTATTTCGCCCAAGCAAAGCAATGTCCATAGAACCTTTCAATAGAACCTAGAATTTCGCCACAATCCAACAACTGAGTTGTTGTAAATCAAAATGCGCCATTTTAGAAATACGATACCATCAAACTTTCTTAGCCCGTTATATGCAATTTTCAAGAATAAAAGCTCCCACAACGCTATCAAGGCTTGATGATCAAGCCCAAGGGGATTAATGTTGTCCAATTCACTCCTTGACTTCTTCATCTAGGCAATTGGTATTTCACCAATGTTC